TAAGCATTACCTGAAACAGTTCACATTTTCAAAACAATGAATTGTTTGTTGGCATGCGGTGACTACAGTAGCCTACAGCAATGCCTGAAATAAACCTCTACAAATGTAGGCTATCTGTGCCCTAATAAAATATAGCTATATAAGCTAGGCTGGTGTGTGTATTTGTGTCATTCTTAATTTATTTTGTAGGCTATAGCTATATAGCCAGTGTTTACCAGCCTCCACAGTAAGGCTCAAGTTACCTTTATCAACACCAAAATACTAGTTTTCCTGTTTTCTCATATTATACTGTATATGTAAAATTATAATTAAAGTAACACAAGTAAATGCACATTTACTTGTATCTGTAATTTTTTTTAAAGCTTTAACAAAGCAACCTCAAAATCTTTCAACATACTACCTATTTGGGAATCACTAGTCTCCAAGTAGGCTACTAATAGATTATAATAGATTAAAGGTATAGTCCATCCATCCAAAAATTCTGTCATCATTTACTCACCCGTTCAAAACCAGTATGACTTCTTTTCTTCTGTAAAGAAAATATTCTGAAGAACATTGGGAACACATTTTTCAAAATATGTCCCCCGAAAGATTGAGTCATACAACTTTGAAATTAGATGAGGGCATCAGAATTTTTATTTTGGAACGAACGATCCCTTTAAAATTGATCCTCAAAGGAGTACATACAATTTCTATTTATTGTATTTAGGTAACAGTCAAATACAGTTTAGAGAATCTAAGATAAAAAACTACTACTAATAATAAATATTATATTAATAAATATTTCTCTCACACACACAATATGTCCATAATGTTGTGTTAATCGTGTTTAACATTTGAAACATTTAATTTTACAAGTTTACATACAATGATACCATTTCTGTAGGGCCGGAGTTCCCAAACGTTTTTGTCAGCCAAACTCTGTTGACCTAAAACATTTACTTGAAGTTCTCCTGAGATTAATAAAGCTAATATTTCAATAATTGAACAACACACTTTCATGTTCACAGTTCTCTGATGTTGGTTAATGGTGACATGACGTGCATGTAAACAAATAAAACATTTTTTATTTTATTTGGATTGTGTTTTTTTTTTTACAGATTAATGCTTTTCATCAACTCACGCAATGCAAAATTAAGTGAATGCCTGGTGTCTAAGATAATTATTATTAAAACGGGGCCTTGGCAGTCAATGAGCTTCAATGTTATATTATACTTTTTTCCTAACTTAATTTAAAAAAAAAAATAGTAACTGCTGGCCTATGTCCAAGAAGACTGGGCCATCAGAACAATGCTTTAAAGGTTTTGTTGTGGTGTGAAATCACTTCTCAGAGATCTTTGATGCCAGAAATATTACTTTATTTTACAACAAAGCCAGCATCCTCTGCAGAAGACAACTCCAGATTTTTGCTCAGCTCACACATATAGGCTATACCATACATTAACCCCAGCATCCTGGCCAAATTTGGCCATTGGCCTCTCTCCATCATGGCCTCCTAATCATCCCCATATACTGATTGGCTTCATCACTGTCTCCTCTCCACCAGTAAGCTGGTGTGTGGAGGGCGTTCTGGCGCACTATGGCTGCCGTCGCATCATCCAGGTGATGCTGCACATTGGTGGTGGTGGAGGAGATTCCCTCTTCCATATATGTAAAGCGCTTTGAATACCCAAAAAAGGGCTATATAAATGTAACGAATTATTATTATTATTAATAATTATACATCCTTTTCCAAAGATGGTTACACACCCTAGATATTTCTGGGTAAAATGTCTTGTGCCGTTTGACATACTAGAATAGAATTTTCTCCTGCAAGCAACATTCCAGGCCTTTCTTCAGGCTTCGAAAAGTCAAACCAAAGTCACACCCAGCGGAAATAATACAAATATAGCTAAATTACTTATTTTCTAAATAATAAAATATTCTACAGTACACGGTATTATACAATCAAGTACAAATGGCAATGTTTATTATGATGACTGACTACAAGAATAATAAAATATTTTCCTTAGTAGGTAGGCCTATGTAGTTTACAAAAACATGGCTATCAAGAAATTAAAGATGACTCAAAACAGGCTAGCTTATTTATTAGGACACATATGATTAATAAGCCTAGACGAGCATGTTCGCTCATTGTTTGCTCTGCTGTGTCCTTACCTATAAATATATGAACTGTTTCATTTAATGCTTAACATTGAAACTTAATTACCTTCTCGAAATAATCCATTAAACGATTTGACGAGAGTGCACTAATATTTTCAGTTTCATTCGTTTTGGAAATGCGGCAGCGACACTTCCGCATCTCCAGCAGTCATTTCCAGTGGCATGGTGGTGAAAAACCAAAACTTTTACCCCAGTACTTTTGTTGTTATTGATGTTTGCAACTCAGAAATTGCAATACATCGAGGTTGAAAACATTTTTTGTGAAGTTGTTTCAGAAATAGTTTACATGAGCGCTAAACCGCTGTTTTCTCTGGCAGCGTGCGAAAGTATGTTTAAATATTCTGATGTGATCGTGATTAAAAGGTTTAATAGACAGCGAATCATTTAGGAAAGGTCCTGTCCTTGTCATGATCCGATTCCAATCTGTTAATGATTAATCGTGCATAGGCTGCTGCTACATAGCCTACATATAAATAGGCTATAGGCCTAGATATAATGCTATTTCTATTTTAAAATGTAGTTTTTACATAAAATATTACGCTGAATTATGTAACTGGTCAGCGGCGAGTGTTATTAACAGCGGCAGGTGCCAGAGAAGGTCGTGACTGGTGGAGATGCCGCCGGAGGTGTCACTGCGAGATGTCGATGCCGCATTTTGTGCTAGTAGCTCGTCGTCTCAGGCCACGCCCACAACACGAGAATATCATGAATATTCATGTTTACTCCACCCACTTGAACAGTTTTTCACAGGAAGGAACTGAATATTACACAACACCGGCCCTGGTCACGGTAAGTTTGTTTTGTGAATTTCGGTTTCTGTATGAAACCTGTATGGAAGCTGTTGAACATTTCCATCGTTGTTGGCTTGTTGCCCAGAAAAAAAGAGACGGAAACTTTTTGTGACAGCGTGTTGTAACGAGGTAAATTAATTGTCACAATGGCCACCTAACGTTACAGCAGTCAGTTCAGGTTTAAATTGTATACATTTCAAATAAAGAATTAAACCAGAATATATATTGACTTTTTTTGCAATAATCATAACTTTAAAAAAAAAAAACAGTTATCTCCTGAAGCATAAAACCTGATCATCTGTGTTCATTTAAATGAAAAAATAAATAAATAAAAATGCTGCAGCTCTTGAGTGAACTATTTCCAGATGGATCCTGATTCCTGACATAAGCATTCTTGATCAACAGGCGTGTGCACTGATGAAATCCTGCATGTCTGGATCTGCTGTCTCTTTATGTTTATTCATGTGCAATATCCTGTACACACCTTAAACTACAGCAAATATAGCAGGGGCAAAGTACGTGTGACCATGATTACTTAATCTGAGTCACAGACAGTTGAACATTTGTTTCAGTTTTATTTTGAACACAGACAGCATATGATCAAAATGATCACATTCACATTCGTTTTCAGCAATTCTATAAAATGGCTGTTGCATCAGACTTTATGTATACCAAATAAAATTGCTTGATATTATTTTTTAGGTCAATTATGTCTAAGTATTTGCACTTCCATATTTAACAAATAGATTAATTTTATTATCATACAGTTATACATGTTTAACTCTAGGAAAACTTTGTCAATAATAAACTTAAATTACACTTTAATTACTCTTTGCTTGGGGTTAGTAAATTAAGGACATTTATAATGCTACAAAATATTTATGTTTCAAAAGCTGTTCTTTTAGGCCGTGAGACAGAGGGTTGATTGGTACCATTTTGAGGGATTAAACCACATGGTGATTTTTGTGTAGGTATATGACCCATTTGAAAAATCTGTGATAGCATTAGATTCAAGGTTACGGAGGCCGATTTTCAAACATATGTCAAGAAAAAGGATAAATGAATTTATCTTTAAATAAATTAAACATTTTATAAAAAAAATATAAAATTTTATAAAATTTTATAATTTTTTATAATAAAAAATATTTTTTTTAATAAATTTTTTAAATTATAAAAGGATACATTTTTCTCTCTTGTAGTCACTGAACACCTTACCTTGAGGTAGGATGATATAAGTGTTGATTTCTAATGAAAGCTACCATGGATCGGATGCTATCACAAATTTTCCAACACTAGACGTGTACCTTCATGAAAATTTAAAAAGAAATTTAATCCCTCAAAATGGTACCGGTAGCCCAAATTTGGGGTCCCGTCTCATGGCCTATTTTAACCTTTCTATTTATCAAAGAATCTTGAAAAAAATCACCTTTTCCACAAAAATATTAAGCAGGACACATTAATAATAAGAAGAAATCTTTATTGAGTAGCAAATCAGCATATTAGAATGATTTCTGAAAGATCATGTGACACTGAAGACAATGATGCTGAAAATTCAGCTTCGCATGCAGGAATCAATTCCATTTGAAAACATTTCAAAAAAGAAAAAAGTACTTTTTGATTGTATTAATATTTCGCAATATTATTGTGTTTTTGATCAAATAAATGCAGCCTTGGTGAGCATGAGAGCACTTCTTTCAAAAACTTAAAAAAAATCTTACCGAACCCAAACTTTTAAACGGTAGTGTATATACATAATAAATAGAAGATGTATATATATGGAGGTAGCAAAAACTCATGACCCAAATGGAGCACTTAGAAAGCTCAATGGGAAAGTTCTGGCAACTTTCCCAACCCGCTCACTTCCTTCTGAAGATGAAACTTTATGTGACATGACGTCGCTGGCTTCATTATCAGACTCTGGTGAGATACTTTGAGAGATGTTATAGAAAGGATTATCTGAGATAAAGTTGTTTCCCCATCAGATTTTTTAAAGTCAGTCTCTGTTATATGATCTTCCGTAACCACTCACACTCTCTGTGGTCATTAAAAATCCTAGAATGTCCTTCGAAAAAGAGTAGGGGTGTAACCCCGGCATCCTGGCCAAATTTGCCCATTGGCCTCTGTCCATCATGGCCTCCTAATCATTCCTATATACTGATTGTCTTCATCACTGTCTCCTCTCCACCAGTAAGCTGGTGTGTGGTGGGCGTTCTGGCGCACTATGGCTGCCGTCGCATCATCCAGGTGATGCTGCACATTGGTGGTGGTCGAGGAGATTCCCCCCCTTCTACGTAAAGTGCTTTGTGTACCCAGAAAAGCGCTATATAAATGTAACAAATTATTATTTTTATAACCTTCTGGGTTCATCGATGAGTTTTGTGGCAGCAAAGGTCAAGCTCAAATCTTCTGCTGCTGCCGTCCTGCTGAACGGGAAAACTTCTCTGGTAAAGCGCGTCACGAAGCACGGCATCTGCTTTTTGCCGCCCAACTTTTCCCCTCTCGATTGGAAGTTGTAGGCCACCTGGTAGTTTAGTCGAGTCAGAAGTTTTGTGATCTCCAGATCTGGACCTCCTTCCTTTTCCAGCAAATTACAGAGAGTCTGAATCAACACTGCGCCTGTCGGATGCATGAACGCAGCGTAACCTTCGAAACGAGAGAGACACATGAACGTGAAGCGTTTGGGACTTTACGATCTATGCAAACAATGTTTTGGAGTTAAGAAACCGTACCTGGTGGTGTGGCGTACATAACTGCAGTGTCAATAGGAATGGAAAAAAGCTCAGACATGCCGTCCTCTTCCTCTGAGGATGAAGAGTCTGTCTCCACCTCCACACCTCCGTCCAACCCATGACCTCGACAAGCCTGCAGCAGAGAGTCACGAGAATCGCAAACATTAAATTCAAATCTTTAACAAGTCACAAGCTTTAGGAGAATATACAAATCAAAATCAATTACATATTTTTTTTGTGCGAATATCCGTAAGTAAGAACAGATTGCTCTATATTTCCGTACTTCCCATTCATTTCCTATGGTCCATTTGGGCATGAACAGTAGAAGTGGGACTTTTTTTAAAGACTTTTTAGCCTTTCCGAATCATCAATTCGGAAAATAGGAATAATTCACCCGAAAATAAAACTTATCCCATAATGTACTCACATTTAAGCCATCCTAGGATTTTCTTTTTTTTTAAGCCGAACACAGTTTGAGTTATATTAAATAATATCCTGGCTCTTCCCAGCTTTGTAATGGCATTAAATAGTGTCAGAGTTTTTGAAGCTCCAAAAAGCGCATCCATCCATCATAAAAGTAATCCATACGACACCAGTGGGTTAAAGGTGAACTAAGTAACTTTTTTACCTTAACCGAACAGCTTTGGAGTCATTGTAATGTTTATATTACTGATTTCGTGTTGAATGGTGGTCGTCTCGCACCCCCCCGGTGCCTGTGAGCCGCAAAACCACCCTTGCAACTTTGGGCCGGCGAGCCGCCGCCTCAGTCTTAGGAAGTATCGTGTGATATCAGGTCTCGCGAGGTAACAAATTGCTTTACGGCAAAAAACAGATCTGATAAAATTCTGATAAAATGAGCATCAAACAGAAATAACCCAGCGCCGTATACATGTGGTGTTCGAGGCACACATGCAATACAGACTGCCGACAGTTAAACAGGGCGCGCGCAGCTCTTAAAGGAGCCTTACCTTATTTCCACTCGTTACAGCGTCCATCCTACTGAACAGGTACCGGTGTACAGGGGGAGGGGATCCGGCCGTGAGTGCGAGCCATCTCTGCGTGAGTGCTATTCACGACAGTACAAGTACTCCACAGCGACTCTAGGGGTCGCTGTTTGACAAAAACGGAATTCCTACTGAGTGCTGCTTTAATAAATGCCTTCTGAAGCGAAGCGATGGGTTTTTGTAAGAAAAATATCCATTTTTAAAACTTTATAAACTATAATCACTGGCTTCCGGCAACAGCAGTACGCATGTTCATGAGAGAATCAAGATCCGGCAGAAGGGTGGCAGATCCGATTCTCGTTTTAGACTTGAAATTCATAACCGGCATTTTGTTTTGCTCAACTAAGCTTACACTATGCCATACGTCGGGACAAGAGGTCACTGTTCCGCCGAAACTCCACTCTCTTGTGAACGTGCATACAACCGTTGCCAGAAGCCAGTGGTTATAGATTATAAAGTTTTAAATATGTATATTTTTCTTGCAAAAACCCATTGCTTCGCTTCAGAAGGCATTTATTAACCCACTGGAGTCGTATGGATTAATTTTTTTGATGGATGAATGGATGGATGCTAGGGATGCACAATATATCGGCTACCATATCGGTATCAGCCGATATATGTTCATTTCTAATGTAATAGTTATCGGCCCTATAAGAACATTTAGCTGATATATTAAAGCCGATAAAGAATGGATTATTTCCTTTAGCAGAGACACTTCAGATGCACACTGTTCGCCATGATTTGAACTGCTTGAAATATGATTGGAATCCCTTCAAAAAGGAAAATAAGTGCAACATGCAGGGCAAGTCTGTCTCATATAGACTGCATGAAATTATGAGAACATTATAATTATATGCTTGGGACATGGCTTTTCACGGTGAGACTTTTGTTTTTGTAATCAGGCTCTCAAACGTTATGTAAGAATTTGGATTTAGATTTATCGACCAATATATTGGTTATCGGCTTTCAAAAAGAATATAAAGAATTATCGATAGCCTATCGGACAAAATGTAATATCGGTTCATCCCTAATGGATGCGCTTTTTGGAGCATCAAAAACTCTCTCACTATTCAATATCATATACACCTAGGATGGCTTGAGGGTGAGTAAATTATGGGATCATTTTCATTTTTGGGTGAACTATTCATTTAAGAATTCATTCTCTTGTTTTAGTTAAATCATGGGGATGAAATTAAGAATTTGTTCCCTCGTTTTAGTAAATCATGGCCTAAAAAAAGGAAACAAATTATTACAGCGTGACCAGTAAAATGAGGAAAGGAATTCTTAATCCATGGCCACAATCAATCTCTCTCTCTCTCTCTCTCTCTCTCTCTCTCTCTCTCTCTCTCTCTATATATATATATATATATATATATATATATATATAATTATAATTCTATAATTCCAATTAAGTTCAAAAATGTTTTTTTTTTTTTTAAATGCTAAAAACAAAAAGTATAGATTCCAAAAAAATTCAAGCGAAAGAATTCCAAACTGCAATGTTATGTCAAACAGCATCGATAATTATAACACAGGCTCTTATGCAAGAAGGTCACAAGAGTTTGCCTGTGAGGACGTTTTTCAGGAATTACCTGGATCAGGAAGAGTTTGCTCTTGTCCGTCATTGACGGGCCTCTGAAGTAGCTGTAGATCTCGGACAGTTTCACGGCATGTCCGTCAGCACCAAACACAACACCCTCCTCACCATGAGTGGATATGATGCCCATAAAACAGTCTTTGACCGTCTTCTCGCTCTCTGAGGATGGAGGACAGAGTTAAAAAAACAGTGATGTATAACCAAATAAAACAGATTCTGTGTTCTTTTTTAACTTATTTGTTCCTATTGAAATATTATTAGTTATCTTCAGGCAAAACTCATATGCTGTCATTGTTTACGAGGCTAAGGACTGATTTACAATGACTCAATCTCCGTTCATATCGCATATCATATATGTTCAGATTCCAGTCTGCGTGACTTTTAGTCTAGTCTAGACTAGTAATTTTATTGCTCATAATTCATTCATTCATTTGTTTTTAAACGATGGCAACATCAAATTGTCATTCAACCCCCCCCCCCCCCCCCCCCCCCCCCCCCCAAAAAAACCCGAGAAGAATCGTAATTTCTTTTTCTTTTTCAACAAAAATGTACAAGTTTAAACCGAGTTTGTGCCAATCTACGCTTGCTGATAATTGAGGGCAGCAGCCTATTATTAACAAACATGGACTTTGGCACCAATAAATGACCTTATGTAATGTGTTTTTAGAGGGGTTTTTAAGAAACACAAACGCAAGCACAGCAGATATGAAACATGAATTCAGCTTGGAGGAAAAAATACTTTTTTAAATTATTAGACTAAACAATATAATTACCTGCTTTAAATGCTTCATAGATCTCTTTTGCTTCAATGTCTATTTTGATTTCCACAGAGAAGCCGAGTTTGGTGAGGATTTTGTGAAGCCTTTGAGTGTCTTTCTTCACGCCGCTTCTCCTGCTCAGATCTACATCTGGATAGAAGTTCCCCACGGACACTATTAACGCCCTGTTCTTCATCCTCTTGTTTGTTGTGAAAGGATATCTACAAAAAGACATGATTCTCTCTTCTGTCAAACACTGAGGTGTAATGCAGTCAAAAACTGTGTGAGAATAAGGAGAGTGTCTCGACATCATAAAACAGGTGAGTCCTGCCATTTGCAGTCTGTCAGGCCATATATGGAGCGTTTCCTCCAGGCTTTAACAGTGTCATGAGTCTGATCTACGCAACACTGGCAGTTCCAGACAAATCAGAAGTTTAGCTCATAAAAAGATGATTTACTACCTTTATAGGTGCTTGTATTTATCTTCCAATTTACCAGCAATGGTTTGTTGATAACTCAAATTGAAATAATATTCATAATGTATGTAGTATATAATTACATCAAATGTTTTATTAGCTTTACACATTAAGTTGAACCATAAGAATACTGAAACTAGAATAGCAATTGATACAAAGTAAACAAATAAAGTAAACAGAAAAGCATATCCCCCTGTTTTCTGCTCATTTCCACTGTGTCCGTTACCCTTTCTTATATTTGTATTAGCTATGTTCATGTTCATACCTGCTGGAATACAAAACTCCAGTGGAAAGTACATCAATAATAAGGATGCTGTCTGTCCACTGTGTTCATATCCACCCGTTCTCAGCACAAATAAAGATGTTCTCCCATCCCAAAGGCTTAAATGTAAATCGTTGTTTAAGACTGCTGCAGAAGTAGCACATAAACGCCGTTGTCACGTAGTGATATATATCTGGAGCGCCACATACGTTTCAGGACACAAGGCCAACCATATATGGTATGAAGTGGGGGAAAAATACTATGGAAGTCAGTGGGGACCAGAAACGGTTTGATAACCAGCATTCTTCAAAAAAATCTTCTTTTGTAACCAACAGAATAAAGACACTCATACAGGTTTAGTCAGAACTTGAGGGTGAGAAAATTATGACACAATTTTCTAGGGAACTATCCCTATAACATGAACTAACAATGTGCAATACTTCTACAGCATTTATGAATCTAATTCATTGTTAGTTCATGTTAGTTAATGCATTAACAAATTTTAAACCAAGACGCTTAACAACAAATAATAGAGCTAAAATTATAATTTATAAATTAAACAGAAGTATAATTGTAACATATAATAATACAAATAAAAAGGAAATGTATAAACTTAACACTCTTGAAAAGAAAAGTTTACTTTTCAGTCACATTATTCAATTCTTTAAAAAGACTCCATGTCTTCCCTAAATGGAAACGCAATGTAAAAGGATCTTTGGAATCTTCCAACTGTTGCATGAGATTTTGGAGGGCCATTTCCTCGTCATCCTCTTCCATTTTGAGGAAAAGAAGCTCCCGAACACATCTGTTGGAATGTATCCATTTCACAGCCAATTTCGTGTATCTGATGATTGGGAATTCCTTCTTTAGAAAATGGCAAAGAACAATTACATTTTAATATTTAATATAATATTAATATACTATAATATAATATATTTAATTGTAATGTAACTTATATGATGAAAACCTCGCTGCTGCTGGATGTGACCTGTTCTTCACATCTCTGTTGTTAAAGCTTGTTGGTAGTGTGTTTTGGAGGTTTTCTGTCATTTTTTGATTTGATTTAGTAGGGTGGGGTGTGTAAGCTGGAGGAAAATGAAGAGATACATTTCACAGAGAAAACTCCTAAGTTAGAAAATTAGTGGCCACCGTCTCCTTATATTTGGAAAGTCGTGCTTTAAGACTGAAATATAGAGAAAACTTTAAAAATCAACTGCAACAACAGTATGAAATCAATGCAATTACTTGAGCTGGTAATTATTTTCATATTTAAAATCAAAAGGGGCTCAAACTGAAAAATTCAAACTCACAAAAAAAATCAAACACAATGTGTCGACGAGCTGAAAAACAAAAAAACTCAGGAAAAATGTAAATATAGTTAAAATGGGGGTAACCCTTTACAATAAGGTTTCATTTGTTAATGTTCAGTTCAGTTCAATTTTATTTATATAGCACATTTAAAACAATCGTAATTGACCAAAGTGCTTCACAAGATCCAACAAAGAAACAAAACAAATTATTGAACAGACAATATCACACAAAATACAAATAGAAATGACCCACAGGTCAAGATATCAGAGCTCAGCTAGAATTGAAGGCCAAAGCATAATAATCCGTCTTAAGCAAGGACTTGAATATTTCAATAGTCTGCGCTTTCCTTACAAAAATTGGCAGACTATTCCAAATATTAGGAGCAGCCACTGCAAACGCTCTGTCACCTCTGTTTTTTTTTGGGCTGTAAATGTGTTAACTAACATGAAATAACCATGAACAATACATTTGTTACTGTATTTGTTCAAATAAAATGTGAAATACATAATCTGTATTTAGAAAAATAAACACTTAACGTAATATATAAATAAATTGTTAACCACGTAATGAAAGAAACACAGTGCTCTCCGTCTCCGCCATGTTCACACCAGAGACACACACACACACACACACACATGCTCTCCGTGATATTCCCACCAGATATCATTCTCCGCCCCTTCACTTCCGGTGAGACGTGTGGCCTGGCTTGTGTGGCCTGAAACGTGTGTGACGTTGCGGGGCTGCAGCTGGTAAGTCACATGACAGTGACAACGTGGTGAATGTAGAAGGCTACGTCCGGATTACATTCATGCTACACACACATTCATACTAGAACATACTTTTTTTCTCGCAAAGTAAGTACTTAGTCAAAAAGTATAGTCTACAGAGTATTTCGGACGCAGCCTTGGCCTTTGTATTTATGCTTCAAAATCCATAAAAGTTGTTACTTTATGAAGATTTGAGGTTTGAGGAGGAATTGATTAAATTCTTGTTTCTAAATAATAATAATAATAAATAATAATGGATAATTTATAGCTGTCTTTTTTAACTATCAGCAATAAGTGCATGTTATGACACAATGAAACTTGTTTTTAATGTCTGCTGAACTGTGTGAGCCTGTGTCTATCAGTAGCTTTTCCTCTATGGCTGTAAAACTGTAAGTATGCTTCTCTGGATAAGTACAGATGGCTTCTTATCATTGATGTCTGTTTCTCTTGATAAAGTACTTTGGGACAGTGTGTTCTGATCCTTCAAGTCAAGAAGTACAACATGATGATGCACGTCTGTCAGTCTCAGATGCTCATAGCTGGAAGTTTCAGTCGGTATATAATCACCAGACACGTTGTTACTCGCATTCCATATGTTCATTTAATGTTTAACATGACAAAGAAATAATAGTCATCACTCCATATGTTTAAATGGAACCTGGCATTAGTGTTTGTGACTAACTGCCATGTTGAAATCCTGCGTTTCTGGATTGGCTGTCAACTCACCTCACATGAGCACCTGAAAGTACAGAGCGTGCAATAAACGGTTCACGCCTTGTTAATATATAGCAGCGATAAAGAATGACATATAACTGGGCGTAACATTTGTTTCAAACAAATTCAGTGTTTCCAAGAATCAATATTTCATTCAAATGTTGTTGCACCAGAAATCATTGTAGGTTTTATTTGCAAATCACATATAATAGATAAACACTTTCAAGATTAATATATAATAAAACAAAATAAATAACAGAATATTCACATGATTGTTTTAATAAAACAAATTTTATTAAAACATGTCTGAGCTTTTTTTTATAAATATAAATATAAATAAAAGTAGCAGCAAAAGCAGTAGTTCAAGACTTCAAAGGAACACATCCGGCACGTTTCCCATCAGCTGACTTCCTGCTGCCGATGCAAGTTCATGCAAAGTTATGTTATCTCGTCACATGAGATGATATAGATGTCTAACAAGAAGCCGTTTCTCCACATATTTTAGCCAGTCTCTGTTAAATGATCTTCAGCTGATGGAGCTCTTCCGTAACCTTCTGGGTTCATCGATGAGTTTTGTGGCAGCAAAGGTCAAGCTCAAATCTTCTGCTGCTGCCGTCCTGCTGAACGGGAAAACTTCTCTGGTAAAGCGCGTCACGAAGCACGGCATCTGCTTTTTGCCGCCCAACTTTTCCCCTCTCGATTGGAAGTTGTAGGCCACCTGGTAGTTTAGTCGAGTCAGAAGTTTTGTGATCTCCAGATCTGGACCTCCTTCCTTTTCCAGCAAATTACAGAGAGTCTGAATCAACACTGCGCCTGTCGGATGCATGAACGCAGCGTAACCTTCGAAACGAGAGAGACACATGAACGTGAAGCGTTTGGGACTTTACGATCTATGCAAACAATGTTTTGGAGTTAAGAAACCGTACCTGGTGGTGTGGCGTACATAACTGCAGTGTCAATAGGAATGGAAAAAAGCTCAGACATGCCGTACTCTTCCTCTGAGGATGAAGAGGAGTCTGTCTCCACCTCCACACCTCCGTCCAACCCATGACCTCGACAAGCCTGCAGCAGAGAGTCACGAGAATCGCAAACATTCAATTCAAATCTTTAACAAGTCACAAGCTTTAGGAGAATATACAAATCAAAATCAATGTTTCATATCTACATATTTTTATTTGGAGTAGCCATGCCATAAGCAAATATGATTTCAACAGCTGCGGGAGAAACCCCCCCAAAAATTGCTCTATATTTTCGTATTTCCCATTCATTTCCTATAGTGGTCATTTTTGACCGTGAACAATCAAAAGTGTGATTTAAAAAAAATTTTTTTTTTAAACCATTTAACCTTTTTGAATCATGTCCATGTTTTTGCATCTGTGTGTTCATGTCACCGATGTTAAGGCCAAGGGTTATTTACCACACTCCGGAGGAGCAGACACCAGAGGCAGACAACCAAGGTAAGTTAACAAGGTAAGTATTTATTAAATTTATAAAAGAATAAAAGCAGGAACAGGCAGTGGCTTTTCTCGTCGTCAGACTCTATGAATCGGCTCGTGGGACAGGCAGTGGCTTTTCTCGTCGTCAGACTCGTTGAATCAGCTCGTGGGACAGACAGTGGCTTTTCTCGTCGTCAGACTCGTTGAATCAGCTCGTGGGACAGACAGTGGCTTTTCTCGTCGTCAGACTCGTTGAATCAGCTCGTGGGACAGACAGTGGCTTTTCTCGTCGTCAGACTCGTTGAATCAGCTCGTGGGACAGACAGTGGCTTTTCTCGTCGTCAGACTTGTTGAATCAGCTCGTGGGACAGACAGTGACTTTTCTCGTCGTCAGACTCGTTGAATCAGCTCGTGGGACAGACAGTGGCTTTTCTCGTCGTCAGACTCGTTGAATCGGCTCGTGGGACAGACAGTGGCTTTTCTCGTCGTCAGACTCGTTGTATCAGCTCGTGGGACAGACAGTGGCTTTTCTCGTCGTCAGACTCGTTGAATCAGCTCGTGGGACGGACAGTGGCTTTAAAGGTGTGTTGAGCTTTTCTCCCCTGCACCCTGCACACGATCTCAGGGTCCTGGACACAGCTGAGGGGACAGATCAATTCGAAAGAATCTTCAAAGATATGGGTCAATTTCATCCGTCAGAAACTCAGAGAAGACAGTTGTTTGATCTCACCACACTCGTGCATAAATCACTCTTGTAAATCTCCACACGTGTTTAATTCACTCTTTTAGACACTGCAAACTCACTCTATCTTCACAGCGATTAATCAACTCGTTTCTCTTTTCTTCATAGGATGTATGAACCACAGAATATTGGACTCAGAAGATAAACATGGATTCAGCGATCTTCCCAGCCGCTACTGTTACTGTCAACAGGATAACACACTCTGCCCACAAACACAGGTTAGTCGTACACTGGTGATGGCAATCTTCACATGTGTTTTTCTCCAAGAGGTGAATCATAAAGGGGTGCACTTAACTTTTCCTCGGTGAATCACGTGAATCCTGCAGCGGGTTTCCCCTCTCTTTTCTGCCAGTCACTCTCCTTCTTCCTCTGTATGATTTTCTCACTTACTTCGTTGCGTTGCTTTTCGTGGTTTCTAAAAGGACTCACTTAATGAGCATGCCTCGGGGGACCCAACATGGAACACCGATCAGGCATTAAACCTCAGCTTTCCGCACTTGCCGCCGCTCACGGTCACTGCCGCCATCCCCTCGAGCACTCCTGTGGAGCTTTCCTATTGCCAGAGCATTTTCCCCTGAAAACGAGTCAACCATTTTTTTGGTTCCCGGTTTGTTCACCCGGTGACACCCTCCCCCACCGGATCCATTCTAGTCCCGAGAACGGGCCCCAGACTCCCATTCTCCGTACCTGGTAGGAGGTACTCCTCGGGTCTCCCGTTGGGAGTGTCGAGTTGGGATAACGGGTTCTTCCTCCCTTGCCAGACCGACCTCGACCACCGTTGCGCTCACTTGGCAGAAGCGGACCTCCTGCTCCTCCACCACCTGATGGGAACTCACTGGCGTAGTACGGGTCAACCGTTGGTGACGATAGAGTTGGACAGGGTAAGTGTTCATGTTTCTCACTTTTACTGCAATCCGGCCCCGACGGGCCACTGTTAACCCCCGGCCCACCTCGACGGCCTGACACTCCCAGTGGGGCTCGACAAGGACACACGCTTCAGGACCATAGGCCCGCTCAGGGAGACGGACCCAGACCACAGCCTCACTCCGGGCAGGAATGGAGACAGCGTATCAACATACCACTCGACCAGCATCTTCCCGATCTAGCTGGGAGCTGGCGACCTGTACTCGTCGACAGTCGGTGATGACACGTTCCCACTCTCGCTTCTCGGCTACAGAAGTGGAACGAAGAGGACCAGTCCGAAACAGCTCTTCCCAACAGTCCATGATTACATTCATCCCCAACAAGGCTCGATGCTCCCCCAGACAGGAGTCCCGCACAATCACCACCCCCTTCCGTGGGATTGTGGTGCCATGGATCTTGAAATCGGTCACCTGATATCCGATGTAGGGGATATTCAGGCCATTCGCTCCCCGCAGGGTGAGCCAGGGGACTTCAGCCTCCGGTAAGTGATGGGCATCGAACAAATCTCTGGACAGGCTCTCGGCAAACATGGTAACCTGGGACCCTGTATCTACCAGGCACCGAACAGTAACTCCATTGACTTTGATCTCCACGAGGGGGCAACGTCCCACCAGGCTGTCTCGTGGGGCTGAGCTTACAAAGGGGTCCATCCGGGGGGTCCCGACCACTTGACCCACAGTGGCCGGTCGTCCTAAAAAAAAACCTGCGAGTTACGTCGGGAGCCGCATTGGCGGCTATAGTGCCCGGGCTCCCCGCAGCTGTTGCAGATCGGGCGCCCTTGCCCATCCCACTGGAACCTGGAACTAAATGGTCGGCCGGTACGTCCTCCCGGATCCCTCCCTCCGTCAGAATACGACCGGTCTCGGGGCAAAGGCGGAGGCTCTGGCCGTCCACGACGGAACTCTCCCAGAATAGTCTTCGAGAGCTCAGCCATTTCTTCTCGAACATCCTTCATCAACTCTGTACGTAAGGCTTGTTTCCAATCCGTCAGTTCAGGCAGTCCTGGGGCACTAGTTCCACTTGCAGCCATGCACACCGGCGACTCCACGGTCTGGTTGTGATCCTGTTCCAGGGCTAAGGCCTCTTCACGTAGATCTTCGAAAGTCAGGGCAGCGTCCCGTCGAAGTTGTAATCTCAGACTCTGTCGCACTGGACCTTCTTGTAACCCCAACATGAACTGGTCTCTTAATAATGTCTCTTCTTCTCCTAGACCATGATGCTCCCGACTCTTCAACCTGGAGAACTGTTCTCGTAGTCGCAGAGCGAATGCTCGCAGAGTCTGCCCAGGTCCCTGCTTACAGTTAAAAAACTGAGCCCGTAACACTGCCACGGGAGTGGAATCACCATACTGCCTGGATAGGAACTCAAAGATCGCTTGTGTAGTGGCTCGGACGACTTCAGGTGCTGCTCGAACTTCTCTCTTCGCCTCCCCCTCGAGCGAATTCAGCACAAATTGTATCTTCTGGGCTCCTCGGAGCCCTTGCAGTCCGGCCAGGTACTCCACTTGCGCTCTCCAGTCTGTCAAGCTCAAATCCGAGCCAGGCCCACCGTACTTCTGGGCCCATGGGGCCCCCATAAACATAGCTGCCATCGGCTGCCGGGCGGCTGGCAAATCCTCATCCGCCATCTTGGGTCCTCTGGCCGCTCAACTCCGAGTGGTAACCCTGCCGACTTACGCCAAAAGTTGTGCCACCGATGTTAAGGCCAAGGGTTATTTACCACACTCCGGAGGAGCAGACACCAGAGGCAGACAACCAAGGTAAGTTAAAAAGGTAAGTATTTATTAAATTTATAAAAGAATAAAAGCAGGAACAGGCAGTGGCTTTTCTCATCGTCAGACTCGTTGAATCGGCTCGTGGGACAGACAGTGGCTTTTCTCGTCGTCAGACTCGTTGAATCAGCTCGTGGGACAGACAGTGGCTTTTCTCGTCGTCAGACTCGTTGAATCAGCTCGTGGGACAGACAGTGGCTTTTCTCGTTGTCAGACTCGTTGAATCAGCTCGTGGGACAGACAGTGGCTTTTCTCGTCGTCAGACTCATTAAATCAGCTCGTGGGACGGACAGTGGCTTTAAAGGTGTGTTGAGCTTTTCTCCCCTGCACCCTGCACACGATCTCAGGGTCCTGGACACAGCTGAGGGGACAGATCAATTCGAAAGAATCTTCAAAGATATGGGTCAATTTCATCCGTCAGAAACTCAGAGAAGACAGTTGTTTGATCTCACCACACTCGTGCATAAATCACTCTTGTAAATCTCCACACGTGTTTAATTCACTCTTTTAGACACTGCAAACTCATGCTGCGTCCCAATTCGCCTACTTATACTACGCCCTAAAAGTATGAACTCTTTTTGTGAAGAAAAAGTACATATTTTTGAGTGTGTAGCAAAAGAGTAGGCAAGCTTTGGGACATACTACTTCGTCATCTTTAACGGACAGAACTGTCGCGTGCATCCTATCACCGTAAACTGCCCTGTCAATCATCTCGTCACAGTTAAAATCCTCCATTCAATTTAATATAACTTCTTACCATTTCGGAGAGAATTGTTGTCGCAATTGTTGTCGAGACTCTCCTCATGTGTTTGGAATTTGAATATAAGGCATTTAAAAGTTAATGGCTAAATGTATCTTTGCAAAAGTTCACAATGCTGCTGCAGATGCAATATAATGTGGACAACATTGAATAAATACATTTTCGTCAGGTTAGATACTGATAATTAATCACTCAAACCCCTTTATCTAAACCCCTCTACATAACCGTCGGACTCGCGCGTCCTCCATGTCTGTAGTTTTTGAACACTTTTCATTCGTGTTTGTAGTTCTAACCGAATCCTCGTCCAATGCGCGATGGGTTGTGGGCAATATCAGCCGTTAGAGTGCGCATCGATCTGCACTTCGGATTCTGACCGGATATAGTAGACCATCCGGGTCTCTTTGGGACACTCATTTCAACATACTTCGATTTGGGACGTACTAATTCTATTTTCGAATACTATTTAGGACGGATAGTATGCGAATTGGGACGCAGCATCACTCTATCTTCACAGCGATTAATCAACTCGTTTCTCTTTTCTTCATAGGATGTATGAACCACAGAATATTGGACTCAGAAGATAAACATGGATTCAGCGATCTTCCCAGCCGCTACTGTTACTGTCAACAGGATAACACACTCTGCCCACAAACACAGGTTAGTCGTACACTGGTGATGGCAATCTTCACATGTGTTTTTCTCCAAGAGGTGAATCATAAAGGGGTGCACTTAACTTTTCCTCGGTGAATCACGTGAATCCTGCAGCGGGTTTCCCCTCTCTTTTCTGCCAGTCACTCTCCTTCTTCCTCTGTATGATTTTCTCACTTACTTCGTTGCGTTGCTGTTCGTGGTTTCTAAAAGGACTCACTTAATGAGCATGCCTCGGGGGACCCAACATGGAACACCGATCAGGCATTAAACCTCAGCTTTCCGGACTTGCCGCCACTCACGGTCACTGCCGCCATCCCCTCGAGCACTCCTGTGGAGCTTTCCTATTGCCAGAGCATTTTCCCCTGAAAACGAGTCAACCATTTTTTTGGTTCCCGGTTTGTTCACCCGGTGACATTCACATAGCAAGTGTCACAAAAGACACCAAGTTTAATACAAAAGTTAAACAATTCAAAATCCTAAAATGCCAGTATAGGTGGTTAAAGGATTTATAAAATGGAATGCAATATCAACACGTCCCTCTCGAGGCACAGGCTCTTAAACATGAAAGGTCACAAGAGTTTGCCTGTGAGGATGTTTTTCAGGAATTGTACCTGGATCAGGAAGAGTTTGCTCTTGTCCGTCATTGACGGGCCTCTGAAGTAGCTGTAGATCTCTGACAGTTTCACGGCATGTCCGTCAGCACCAAACACAACACCCTCCTCACCATGACTGGATATGATGCCCATAAAACAGTCTTTGACCGTCTTCTCGCTCTCTGAGGATGGAGGACAGAGTTAGTGAGTATCTGGAATGGATAGTTAGTTTTACTATTAAAAGTCTGATTATCTGCAGTCAAATTCGCATGATTCATAATGGCATACAAACCCATTGACTCATCCCCACAATATATATGGAACAATTTCACTTCTTTATATAAATAGAAGAATCAAAATGTGGTGTAAGAAGTCATATAGAAATAAAATGCATCTGTGTTTGCTGATAGTGATGTTTTTAAATTAGTAAAGTAAACATCAAAACAATATGTTGGCTCACATTACCTGCTTTAAATGCTTCATAGATCTCTTCTGCTTCAATGTCTATTTTGATTTCCACAGAGAAGCCGAGTTTGGTGAGGATTTTGTGAAGCCTTTGAGTGTCTTTCTTCACGCCGCTTCTCCTGCTCAGATCTACATCTGGATAGAAGTTCCCCACTGACACTATTAACGCTCTGTTCCTCACAGTCTTGCTGGCTGTGAAAGGATATCTAAAAAAAGACATGATTCTCTCTTCTGTCAAACGCTGAATTTCAATGCAATCAAATTGTTTCAGAGTAAGTTGCCCTAGTTCTCAGATGATCTGCCTGCATTTATAGTATGAGCCCTGCCCCTTTTCAGAAGTCACTATGGGGAATGTTCCTGGGCAATACCATTGTGTCATCATCACTTCAGATTACATAACTTGCTGTCGGCAAACTTTAAAGGCAATAAAACTTGTAGGAGCTTCTTATGCATTTACACTTGCAAAGATTTGTGAGGAAGCAGCATTTCAACAGAAGTCAGGGATAGAAAATAAGGGGAGATCCAATTGATATTTCTTTATAGTTTATTATTATAATTATTGAAGGTTAATCTCTGTTTATAGGCACAGTAAAACAAAAAAGTTCAATAAAACAGATTACTGAAGAAAAAATGCTATTTCAGTCTTTCGACTTCAAATGTGCATGTTCAATTCAATGTGTTGCTATTTTGTTGCAATTATTTGGGAACCTTACTAGCAATTCGATTTCTGAATGAACATGTTTCAAAGTGAATCCTACACCAAATTTTATTCAGTGTAACGTGGAAACAAACAAGCTATTGAGTTAATTTGTTGACAGAAGCATGATGTCATATTACATGGTAAACTCAACTGTCACATGGGAACCTGCATTAAATAGCCAATTATGTTTTTTTTTTTCAACTAATTTAAATACTGTTGTAAAACAACACATTTTTTTGCCAACATAGAGAATGTACAATAACAACACATAAAACACGTGACAACTTATCTCAAGTAAAATGTGACTGAAAAAACATGACAAAAATATGATGTTCAAACTTTAATTGGAGAGAATTCACACACACACACACACACACACACACACACACACACACACACACACACTCACTCTTTAATTTAAAGCAACCAACATTCAACATGGTGAAAACATGCATTTGTGTCTAAATCAATTCTGACTGAAGATTTTGCAACAAAGTGTTTTTTATCCAAGAAATATAGATGATATGAATATAATTCCAATATGTTGTTAGCAATTTTTTAAATATTAAATTTAGTTTAATTAAAAGACAGCATCTGGAGTTCACAACCGGAGACGTGTTGCACAAGGGCATTTCTGTCTCCAGAGGAACATTCTGTTTTCACACGGTTCCCCTCGTCTCACACACTTCAAAGGTAATTCTCTTATCTGTCTGTCTACTCAAATCTTTCCTGCTTTCTTCAGCATCCACACAGTATTTTAAAGTTACTCAAAATAATGATCAGAAGAATTTTTTTGTATTCACCAATAATTGTAAAAGTTAACATTCAAAATAATAAACCATTGTTTTTTGCTAACATATGTGAATTGTTCAAAACAATCAAATTGATTGAAACCAAAGTCAAATTTGGACTTTGGATTCAAAACCTTATAACCCTTCCTTGTGTGACAACTAACCCCAGTCTCCACTATGAATATGCATAGCCTATATTAGCTATAGAATAGGCCTATAATATAGATGAGAAAATATATTTTAAATTATATTCTGCAGGCACATTGTGACTCTGTCACGCAAAGGTGTAATGCGTCTAGACTAGAGAAACATTCCTTTTGATTACGTTTTTAATTGCAGCTTTTCCTCGTCTGCCAAACTTCCTGTCACTGTATGTCTGTCTACTTAAGTATTTCCTGGTTCATGAGAGTTTAATTAGGCTACTGATTCCATTCCTTCAATAAAGCATTCAAAGGTTATTTTAAAGTCAGCCTGTGTTCAGATCCATTTTTACCCCATCTTTATTCATGTTAGCTCTCTAAAACATGCGAAAGTAAACTTAATTATGACTAAAAATAGAGATTAAATTTGTAAACTTCCATAAAAATAGGTAACAAATAATTATTAATTTAATCCACGAATTAAAGTATCCAACTAATTGTGTGGCCACCGAGATAAAGTGAGCAGTTTTGGGCCAGCTTTATGCTTTACTGATAACTGAATCTCATATGAGTAACCTATACATCATTTTAAACATTTGTTTTTTTTAACGTATTGTCACACCAGGAACGATCGCCTATTTAGTATAACCATAACTGTAGGCTATACTAGCGTCCATACTAGGCCTACTGTTAGCGCTGCGGTTTTGTTGTCTGTCAATTTAAATATTCGAGTTTTTGATTGGCAGTTTAATTTTTCCATTGTTCATCAGCTGGAAAAAACGTTCTGAAAGTGATTTCAATATAAATCCTCTGTGTCGCATGGATTAAATTAGAACATTAAGGCCCGGTTTCACAGACAAGGCTTAAGCCAGGCTGAGGCCTTATAGGCTAAGGCACATTTATAAAGGCTTCTTAAATGTCCTAATTGAACTAGTTCAATTAGGACATTTAAGAAGCTTTTATAAATGTGCCTTAAAAAACATTACAGGACATATTTTAAGATATGTCAGAGCAAGTTTCTTTCAGTAAAGACAGCTTTGCACCTTTTGCATGATGCAATGTTTTGATAGACTTCTGTAGTCTGTACTGAATCCAGTTTGCGGCCAGCCACCTTCTTGCTAAAGCAAACATGCATTTTAGTCTAAAGGCTTAAGCCTTGCCTGTAAACCGGCCAATATTAAAACTTTATAGGGAACATCCTGTGTACACTCTTAACACTTTTATAAACGATTCCCTAAGACAACGGTAATTTTATATAGTTAACCCTCTGGGCTTCTTCGTCCGAAAATGACCGAAAACGTTTACATTTCGAATTGTTTAATTTTTTTGCTTCATCGGATGGGGGTGAAACTTGGTGACTTTTATTGTATTACCTATATGAACACACAAAAAAATCAAGGAGATGATTCTGATATGTTAAAGGGTCGTAAAAAAAAATAGTCACACTTAGCTTCCTCCCGGTCAAAAACGGGCGACATAGGAAATGAATGGGAAATATGAAAAAAGTAGGAAACCTCAGAGAAACTTTTGGTGGTACAAGCTACAGATCAGCCACTGTGCAGAAAAAAAGTGTACAGCAATGAAGGGGTGACACTCTAAAACATCAAGAGTGCAAATAAGACCACCCCCCCCCCCCCCCCCCCCCCACACACACACACAACACACACACACACAAACACACACACACATACACAGATATACTGGCAAGACTGCAACAGCAAATTTGTAGAATATGCAAAATAAAATCAATAAATGAAAAAAAAATCTCGCTCAAATGCACACACACACACACACAGAGAGAGAGAGAGAGAGAGAGAGAGAGAGAGAGAGAGAGAGAGAGAGAGAGAGAGAGAGAGAGAGAGAGAGAGAGAGAGAGAGAGATTAACTGGTAAGACTGCAACAGCAAATTTTGAGAATATGCAAAAATAAATAAATAAAAAATACCAATTTATTGCTAAATGTCTGTATAAAGTGTTTTGAATTATCACTAACCATCCCTTATTTTGTTTAATTATTTGAATGATCAAATACTGAGTAACAAAAATGTTTGCATTGTGTTCCCTTTCTAACCAAATGCTATAGTTTGATTTTAATCATAATGCAAAACCTGATACTTATCTAAAAAAAAAATTTAAAAAAATAAAGTAGTCTTTTAGAATATCTAAATGTATATCTAAATAATAAAAAAACGAATAAGATAGAGAAATCATGTCTAAAACAACAAAAGGAATCAAAAAGCCTTTCTGTGTATTTATATAGGAAGCTATAGGCAGCCTACAGGCTGGTACAGGACATTGCACACATTTAACTATTTTTTACAGACAGTAGATTGCGCTCTTCTACTTGAATTTTTTTTTTTTTTAGGCTGGCACTCTATTTTGATGTGAAATGTTGCATTTATTGAAAAATTTAAAAAAAATAATTCTAATGGAAAAAATAGCTCATAAAAATGATATAATTAATGCAAAGTATCATAAAAAATTCTAACAATTCTAAATAATAATCAGAAAATATTATAGAACAAAACAATATTTGATTGGTTATCCTGGGAAAAAGTAAAGTTACATTTTAAGGCTTCGTCCGTTTTTGACCGGGAGGAAGCTAAGTGTAACCCATTTACGAAGAAGCCCAGAGGGTTAAGGGTTGTTGTTATACAGAAATATTTGACTGTAAGTGTTTTTTTTTTTTTTTTTCTGCCGGCTCGCATTCAGTTGTGGTTGAGTTGCAGTTTCACCACCCGGCCTGAGAGCGGCAGCAGCGCCTGCAGTCACGAGCAGAGGAATTACGTCAGAGGTGTTGGCCACGCGAGTCTGGAACGTGGAAGAATATATCACTGAGGTAAGCGGGCTACTTTCCAGTATAAATATTTTATTCTTTATTGTATTTAAGTATAAAAGCTGTCATGACGCAATACAGAGCTCGAACACAACACTTACTTGGTAGTTTGAAAAAAGACAGTTAAGGCCTGAATATTAAATTAAGTTTGTTTTAGTAATAGCTAAAAGTGAAACCAGGTCTGATTTTGATCATTTTAACTCGTATATGTGACGCACTTACCCCCGGTTTCACAGACCAGGCTTAGCTAGTCCCAGACTAAAATACACATTTTTAGCTGTTTTAACTGAAAGAAACTTGCACTGACATAATTTAAAATGTGTCAGTGCCATTGTTTGTTTGTTTTTGCTTTTCTAAGGCATGTTTATAAAAGCTACTTAATTGCTCTAATTGAACTAAGGCCTAGCCTAGCTTAATCTAAGCCCTGTCAGTGAAACCAGGCTTTGGTCTAACTAATTCATAAATAGTTCAGGATTTAGTGTTTAGTAAAGGTATACGATTTCTGCTTGCTGTAATAAAATTCACGTATAGATGTAATCAAACATATCTGTGTTTTTAAAAGTGTATGGCATTGTAAAGCAGCTGCTGTGAAGATATGCATTCAAAGATGAAAAATGGCATTCCTGACAGGTGAGTTTTTATAATTTGACTTGTTTCATGAGGTTACTTAAAGTGATAGTTCACCCACAAATGAAACTTCTGTCATTAATTACTCGCCCTCATGTCGTTTCAAACCTGTAAGACTTTCGTTCATCTTCAGAACACAAATTAAGATCTTTTTAATGAAATCTGAGAGCTGTTTTCTGTCCCTCCATTGACAGCTATGCAACTACCACTTTGAATCTTCAAAAAGTTCACAAAGATATCATAAAACTAACAGTAAATCCGTATGAGTTGAGCGGTTTAGTCCAAATTTCTGAAGAGACTCGATCAAAGTGAAGTGTCAGTTGCTTAGCTGTCAATGGAGGGACAGAAAGCTCTCAGATTTCATCAAAAATATCTTCATTTGTGTTTTGAAGATGAACGAAAGTCTTGGTTTGAAACGACACACACGAGGGTGAGTAAGTAATGACAGAATTTTCATTTTTGGATGAACTAACTCCTTTAACTAAAGTAAACCTTTAAAAAATGTCTTTACTAAAGCTATATTCTCTTTAGATGGACAGACTATACTGCAGTGGGTAAACGGATCCCTGGAACACGCTTTATCGCCTTCAAAGTACCTTTAAAACAGGTCTGAAGACACAACCAAATCCTTTGCTTGAAATGATCATGTGAACTTGGATTTAATTCCAGTGCTGCCTGTTCTTTTTGTTTTAGTCTTTTAGAGGTCGTTTAACACAATCAGAAGCATTTGAACCATTTGATCTTGTCCATATGTTGGAGAAGGAAGGACAAGAACTGGGTCTCATCATCGATCTGACCTTCACAACACGTTACTACACAGTAGTGGTAGGGATTAAAGTCAGTGTTTCTGATAATAAATAAATAGCTAATCATATTTTTCCACATGAACGTAAACATCTCCCTGCTGAAGAATTTAGCCTGATGAGATTGGAGCAAAAATAAGTTAATTTTTTTCGTGGCAGTTGTTGTACTAATTGTCTGTAAATGTGCAATTGTTTCAGGATTTGCCAAACACGTTGTACCACCTGAAGATCTTCACAGCAGGGCATGAAGTGCCAAACAATCCCACGATTCTCAGCTTCAAGAAGGCCGTCAGACAGTTTCTCCATGACAATGAAAACAACGGTATGTTACAGTTAAAGACCCCCTGTGGTGAAATTCAAGTTTTTAATGTTGTTTATATGGTGTTTTTAATATGCTTAAAGACAAACCATGTGCAAATTCATGTGTGCACATCATTGCTGAGTATTTTCTCCTTAAAACTGCTGTGAACCAAAGACAGTTGAAATTGCTGGTGTTTCTGACGTCACAAACTACCTTGTAACCAATCAGATCAACGTGTGATCGTCAACCAGTGGATCTCTGTGGATTTCTAATTTGCATATTCATAGAACCGCATATACTAAATGAGGCAAGGGTGTAGAGTTACATTCAAGCTATTTTAAGGCATGAAGAAATTAGTTTTTCAAGGAAAAAACATTAAAAAAATTTATTTAGGTGATTTGGTCAAATTATTGACTACTTTTTTTTTATATATCTCTTAAGATATCTCTTAAGCTCACCAAGCTGGATTTATTTGATCAAAATACAATAATATAGTGATATATTATTACAATTTGAAATAACAGTAATTTATTCCAGTGATGCAAAGCTGAATTTTCAGCATCATTCCTCCAGTTTTCAGTGTCACATGATCCTTCAGGAATCAATCTAATGTGCTGATTTGCTGCTCAAGAAATATTTATTATTATTATTTTCAATGATGAAAACAGTTGTGCTGCTTAATATTTTTATCGAAACCATTTTTTTTTAAATTCTTTGATGAACAGTTAAAAAAAACAGCATTTATTTTAAATCGTTTGTAACATAACATCATATATGTTTTTTTCCGTCACTGGAGAATGATTAACAATAATATATGTTGTTGTTGTTGTTGTTGTTTTTTTTTACAGATAAGCTGATTGGTGTTCATTGCACACATGGTTTGAATCGCACTGGCTATCTTATTTGTCGGTAAGTTGCATATTTTTTATGAATGTTTGCAAACATGCAACATGCATGCATGTATTCGTGATCAATCAACTTTGTCTGTAGATGAGCTATTGCATCCATATGTTGTCACTGTTAAATATTATATCATAGATACCTAATTGATGTTGATGGGATGAAGCCCCAAAAAGCAATTAATTGTAAGTATACTCAATTGTGTATTTACATGCTTTTTTGGTATTATCTTAATGGTGTGATTACTTCCAGTGTTCAATGCATCAAGAGGACACTCAATTGAGAGGCAGAACTATCTAGATGACCTGAGGAATGGGCCCAAGAGAAGGTGAGCTCTTCTACACAGTTGTACGTACAGTACACATATAACTTCATATATTATAAAGTTTACTGTTACTTTTATCTCATGCAGTAACGTGGGAATGGAGAAACCAGACCAAGAACCCTCCCAGGGACTAGCAAACGAGAGACGACAAGAGGCGGCTCATCATCGAAGGGAACAGCATAACCATGATCCTCCTTACAATGGACGAGGATCTCACCAAGGGCGCAGTAATCCCCAGCATCAATTTTTGTAAGCTTCTCCTGTGCTTTTTTTAAGACTTTTAAGAAGGATTGTGAATTGTGTGAACATCTAAAGCCTTGTTCAGACTGTCAGTTGAGAATACCCCTTTGGATTCCAAATGTGAACGGCACAAATCTCCGTATTCACTCTGGTGATGTCTGATCTCCTCAGTTTCATACAGTAGAAATCATTTTGGGTTGACATGAATGGCAACAGCAGGGTCACCAAATCTGATAAGGCTATTTAAAAGTTCACTGAAATCTGTTTCCCCCCTCTGTATCACCCAGAATGACTGTGATGTTCTCCAAATTCATCATTGTTTGTTATATCATTGCAAAATGTAAACTGTATTATCGCACAGCTCAAAACTTTATCCGCATACATACAGAACACTCACATAAAACAATATATACTATACATCATAGCTCAATTGCTTGATTCATTGCAAAATGTAAAACTAAATTATTGCACAGCTTTAATCTTCAGACATTAAGATATTACAATATTATAAACATTAACATCATGATTTTAAGTAAGGGCTGCTTTATAACAAACATCTATTATAAAAAGAACTATACAAATAAATTTGACTTGATTTGACGCCATTAGATCTCTTGTTCGGTGAAGTCTACTGTAGTATTTAATTACATTTTTAATCTCGCATGCAGTAATGTGGAAGTGGAGGAACCAGACCAAGAACCCTTCCGGGGACTTGCAAACGAGACACGACATGAGGCGGCTCATCATCGAAGGGAACAGCAAAGACATGATCCTCCGTTCAATGGACGAGAATCTCACCAAGGGCACAGGAATCCCCAACATCAATTTTTGTAAGCTTCTCCTGTGCTTTTTTAAGACTTTGAAGAACGATTGTAATTTGTGTGAACATCTAAAGCCTTGTTCAGACTGTCAGTTGTGCATATCCCATTGGAATCTGGGTGTGAACGGCCCAAAAAAAAAAAACCCTGTCATGTTGTTGACGTCATTGCCATAGAAAACATTGAAACCAACGCAGGTATTTCGCCATGAGACACTAATCAGATTGAAAGAGTTGCGATACACAGTGTGGACAGTCAATCATTTAGATCAGATTCCAATCGGATACAAATATTATCGGACAGTCTGAACAGCATGATCCCCCCAAGGTAAGGGTGCGGGTTAAGGCAGGAACACACCAAGCTGACGGTCAGCCGTCAGGCAGTTTTTGTGCGACATGTTGAATCGGCGTCGGTGAAAGAGGGAACTCTGATTGGCTGCTCAGCTTAGTGAAAGAGTCAATGCACGAGAATAATAGCAAAACAGCGAGCAAAGAAGTTAAAACTCTACAGATATAAGGCTGTTCTTATGTTACGTCATCTTTCCTGAGTGTTCCTTGGCGAATATTTCAATATTAACACGAGCGGAGTGGAATAAAGAAAGTGTTTAGCAGGATTGATATTCAAAACGGTAAGCACGCACTGCTTTGTTTACGGTATGTGTATCTGCAGCCGGCAGGGTCGGTTTCCCTTTTTGAATGACGAATATATCTGCAGAAATAGACAGTTGTCTCATTTACACGCAGGCCCAGAACGCGCATTCTAGCTGACAGTCGGCTGTAGTTCTCTCGGTGTGTTCAAGTGCAGCTTTTTACCCCGACGAGAGGCGAAAACACAGTCGGCTTTCATCAGCGCTAGTTCGTCGGCGTCGGCTTGGTGTGTTCCTGTCTTTAGGGTTATGGTTTTGTATTTGTTGTAGCATTGTGCAAGCATCAGCACTGTGACTTGACATGACTAATGATATCTTTAGAATCAGATATCCACTGAACTGGTTTTGGGGAAAAAAATCAAACAAGACTAAATCAGCATCAACATTAGCCGCGTTTCCACTGTCGGGCCAAAAGCGGGCGTGCTAGTGCGTGCCAGGGCCAGTCGCGTTTCCACGGTCACTTCAGGGGCTTGATCGGGCCTTCTCGGGGCCAACGGCCAGGGTTTTTTGGCCCACCGAATACCTTGGTCCAAAGCGGGCCAACTCGGGCTTTAGGAGTGGTCATGAATAGATGCAGAATTTATCTGAGTCTGGAGACGGATGATTCCATATACCAGCTAACTGGACTTAAGGACTTTTTAATTCATTTTTAGCTCAAAATTCAGTTTCATGTTTGTGATCCGATTTGAACTCTAATCACTGTATAAGGCAGAAATATTTATACCCGATGCAAAAGACAATGCGCGCTAACATAACCATAGTAAACATGGTAGCTAAATATGACCGCTTGAAGAAATCAGACAAATCATATAGGCTATTACAATCGTGTTTTTATTTTATCTTTCAGTACGTCTTGTCTCTTTATACCGGACTGTCTGATATCCATATTTAGCTCCGTATACAATAAAGCAACTGCGGTTTATCGAGAGCTTCCTCTGTTTCTCTGACTGAAAATATAACTGTATTGGGAGACAGTGCTAAAGTTCCTCAGGTCGCACTTTTGGTGGCATATTCGTAGAAATGATCATTCTTTCTAAATGTGATGTAAACATACTGTCCTGTGACTACAAATAAACAGAAACAGATGCGACTAGTACGTGTGTCCTCTTTCTTTTGTGAAATAACAGTAAACCACTTTATTTCTGTGTGTCTAATGTGCAATCTTGACAGAAATTAATTCATTATGATCAATGTATCACTTTTTATAGTAAATCTGTGGTAAAACTTTGATGCTTGGGTTTTAAATCTTTAAGTAAGGTGAAATGATGGTTTGTGAGGCGTGTTACGAGCGGGTTTTAGTGACACGCTGCAGAGCTTCTGGCATGGTTTTGGGCTATGTGCCACAGGTCCGAGGCTATTAGCCCAGCACGGCCTGTTTAAAGCCCTGGCTCACACTGGCCCGACAGTGGAAACTCAGCTATTGTCTTATTGTGCATGATTCAGCAGGTTGGATGAACGCTGTTCCTTAATCATTCTCATAATTTCTCCTTAGCCCATTTCAACAGAGCAACAACATGACGTCGTTCAGAGCACCTGATCCGCAGTCCTTCCGTCCGCCTCTGTTTCCTCATCCACCCCCGGGCGTGAGACCAACGAGACCCGGTTTTCCCAACCAGAGTGTCAGAGGATTCTACTTCAGTCCTTCAGCCCCATATCAGCCTCCACATCGTGAGCCACGCTACCACTCATATGCCTTTCCAGACAGATCGACAAGACCTCAAGGGCCTCACAGGAAATCTCGACACAAAGATAGGACTCCTCGCTGAAGTGGAGGAGACTTCATCTGGTCAACCCAATCTGCTGGACTGTGCTGTCAATGTTAAACCATTCTCTCTGTGAAGGAACTGTGCTTATTCTTTAAAGAGTAAATGGATGTGGTCTCTCAATGAGCTTGACTTTTTTTTTTTTTATTGGACTCCGCTAGCTAACAATATTGTAAGTTTTTTAGATTAAGTTATCTGTTATTAGGCAAATTTTATTTAGCAAATCTAAATCATGCACACAATCAATGACTGCTACATATCTTTAATGCATTTAAACAAAGCCCCGTTGTCACTTGTATTTATATTCTCAGAAGTAAACCATTGTTTTTAGTGTTAAATGGGCTGTTTTATTATTTTTTAATTGTGTTTTCATTTTGTGACCTGACAGTTTGTGACTTTTGACTCAGTTGGACATCAGCACCATTTCTTAAGAGTTGAATGAAATGAAATATTAAACATCATTGCAAGTGCAATTACACTTGTTTTATAATCTCCTTATATTTTACATATTTTATAAAGTAAATTTTTTTATCTGTTAAAATATTCTAGCTGATGTACGGTCCATTGTTTAGGCTACAATTCTACTGGTCACATGATCTCATTATTCTGTGAGAACCCTGGTTGAGTTCAAATTAATAAAAGGCTTATTTGCTCAATCACTTGTAATTATGAATATTTTTATGCGTTTTAGAAAACGAGCTATTAATAAGTAGCAGATATATGGTCATCACCACTGAAAGGGAAAATTAATATAATATAATTAGATTTTATATATATTCAATACAATAATTTATTTTTATTATATATTTAAGTTCAATTTAAAACTGATTCATAAAACGATTTATTGATATTGAAAAGTTCTAAATAATTGGTATATTGGTAAAAAAAAAAATCTCAAAAGCCTATCATTTTTTTCTTATTTTTGCTGCATTCTATAATGCATCCAAACGAAATAAAAGTTGATAGTTTAATTTGAAACAGTACCTTTCTTTATTATTATTTAAAGGTCTGAAGCGTTGTTGCTTGAATATACACACAATAAAAGGACTAACAATTAGACCTTTAATGCATTGTTTGATTTCGAAAATAAAGCAATGCCTAACAGTAAAATTAGTATATTATACGGTAATAACGGTACATAAGTTAGAGCTTTTTTTTTTAGCTCATTATAGAAAAAGTACAAGCATCATAGTGATAAAAGCCAGGAGGACTAAGAATATCATGAAAAATATGGCGCGATTGGTCAGTCTGAGGCATTGCGTCACCATCAGCTGACTGAAGTGGGCGGAGTCTTTCCATACGATGCAGGAAGTGTTATGATATTACACATCAAGCTTTGTATTCCACGATGTCTAAATATGACGAATATATTTAAGAGAATTACACCAAAGCGTCGTTGAAAGCGTAAAGGACTGCGGTGAAATCAGGTAGGAAAGCTATTTTACATTCATGCAAGACTAATCTTACTGTCATTGTTTTTTAGCTGGTTGGCCTGTCAATAATGGTGCCACCAGACTCATTTAAGTCAAAGTTAAAGTTTAAAGTCGTATTTCATGAAGTCTCGCAGCTTATTTACATATAATGCGTATTAATGTACAACTGTATATATATAATTGCATATAGAGGCCCTTAACAAGTATTTAGACAATTTACCAACATTTAAAATGTATATCAATGAATTAAAAAATAAAGTATTAAACCAAGTGGCATTTATTTTATGTTAAAACAACAACAACACCTTTACCAGTTCTGAGAAGAGACCCTGAAACGTTTATTAGCATTTTATAGTAACACTTGATTTCATATCTAATGCAATGGCTTTCAGACAGTGTCCAAATAATTTATGAATAATTTATTAATAATTTATCTTGCAGTATAAACTACTGTTTTATCAATCCCTAACCTTACAATAGAAATAACTCCACCCAAAGTAAGGAGCTTTATCATCAGTGAGTGTCTTATTGATCTGCAGGCAGGAGACAGCATGTCTGAGAACAGTGACTCCAGTCTGACGTCTGAGGAGAGGGTCCGCGCTCTCACCAAACTGGGCAGCTCTGTGGACGTCAGCGAGGATGTGCCGCCCCGCAGATACTTCCGCTCAGGGATGGAAATCATCCGAATGGCCTGCATCTATGCAGAGGAGGGGAATGTCGAGCATGCATTTATTCTTTACAATAAGTACATCACGTAAGTACAGCCAGAACAGGCGGAAAGTGTCAATTGCCTGGCAGTTTGGTTATTGATTCCACATATCAGATTCATTATACTGTTCTCCTGATGTAAAAAAGGTGATTTCCAGTAGCACAGTACAAAATAAGGCCTAAAACTCTCTGTTAAGTTATTTTTAAATACCCATTCATCATGATAAAATATTGATCGTTAACCTCAGGAGGTCAAACTAAATTTGTTGTCTTCATATACAACAAATAAACATTCAATAAACATCAAGATTAAAAATAAATGGTAAAAAAATATTTCGAAAATATAAAATAATTTTCATGCGTTTTACTTCTCCTTAGGCTGTTTATTGAAAAACCTGCAAGACATCGAGAATATAAAAAAAATTATATAATATAAATAATATAAAAAAAAAGAAACTAAATTTAGGACGTCTAAATACAGTTTAAACCCCTGATTTGAGTGATTTTTTATTTACTAGAAATATATTTCTTCATATACTAGAAATAAATTGATAAACATCAAAATTAAATAGATTAAAAATAATATTAACAAAAACAATAAAGATTATATATTATAATATATTATATATAAATAATACATATCTATAAAATAATATATAATGTTTTTTTAAATAATAAAAACGATATTTTGAAACAATTAAATAATTTTACTTCCTTTTAGGTTGTTTATTGAAAAACTTCCTAGACATCGGGATTATAAAACAGCCAACATTCCAGAGAAGAAAGAAACGATGAGGGTAAGATGCGATTTTCCTCTTTCTGGGGACTTTTTGTGAGAGAATTTCCCTAGCTAACTAACATCCCTTATTTTCCTTCCACAGAAATTGAAGGAAATCGCCTTCCCGAAAGCTGAGGAACTGAAAAAGTTGCTTCTCAAGCAGTACGATAAAGAACATGGTGAATATCTCATCCAAAAGGTGGGTTCATAACAGTTGCAGTAACAGTTAGAGGCAGATTTTTCTTAACGAGCTAATTCAAATGTGTGTTTATTGACGAGTGTGTGCACCCCGTCAGAGAGCAGAGGATGAGGCCCAGGCTCGAGAAGTGGCCAGGCAGCAGGAGCTGGAGGCCGAGCGCCAGAGACTGGCCGAGCTGCAGGAGCGTCAGCGCGAGAAGCAGCAGCTCAGCGCCTTTGAGGAAATGATCCGCAGGCAGGAGCTTGAGAAGGAGCGCCAGCGCATAGTGCAGGAGTTCAGCGTCCCGGTGTCACCCACCTCTCCCCGAGATCTCCTGGTGCCTGACGTACCAGGACCTCCACAGGCCTCGTTTTCACCACTGACGCCCCCCGGAGGAACCCCAAACCACGTCTCTCCAAGCTCAGGCCTCCCAGCGTTTGACCGCTCGTTGAAGCCTAGCGTTCCAGTCAGTGCAGGACACAGTGAGAGCTCTCAGTTTGCACTTCCTTATTCATCACTTGACATATGTGGCAGTACTATTACTCTGTTGTCCTGTCATTAGGTTGAGATTATATGGTGTGTGTGTTTCCTTAGGTGTGTTGGTAAACGGCTTGCGGCAGCTCTTTGTCCCCGCCGAGCTGTGCCAAAGGTTTTTAAAGCTAGCAGAAGCCAACACAGCACGGGCGGTGGAGACCTGTGGGATTCTCTGTGGCAAGCTGGTACGTGCAAAACATTTTCAGACACAAACAGACTAAGTAATATAGTTATAGTTAGGTCAATCTTACAAAAGCATGTCTGGCTTATGTTTCACCCCAAAAATGAAAAAAATATATATATTTTAAATAAAGAAAATAAAGCCTATTTTTATGACATTATGATTTTTTATAGATATATTTTTATTACAATAAGAAGATTTTACCCCAAGTTCTAGTTGTTTTAATCCCTCTGGATCTTATCTGGATATTCTTTAATAGTAACACTTTACAATAAGGTTTCATTTGTTAACATTAGTTAGCTAAGAATGAACAATACTTCTACATCATTTATTAATCTTAGTTAATGATAATCTCAACATTTACTACTACATTTGTAAGATTCAATGTTGTACCGGTTTACATTAGTTAATGCACTGTGAACTAAGATGAGCATGGACATTTTTATTAACTAACATTAACAAAGGTTAATAAATGCTGTAAAAATAAATTGCTATTTTTTTAGTTTGTTAGTTCATGCATTAACTAATGTTGACAAATGAGACCTTATTTTAAAGTTTTAGCTTTTTAATAAAGTAAAACATTACTGTAATACCATCATTTTTAATTAACAGCGTAATTTAGAGATAATACTGCCATGATGCATTAATAATTTACCATTTAAATACTGTACTATATGTAATAATAAGACATCTAAGCACATTTTTTTCATAACATAAATTTTAAATTATTATTATTATTAAATTGTATTCATACAGTGGTAGTATTTGTCTTTAATTTATTAGTTAATTTAAATAATAATATATATTAAGTATATACACTCACCGGCCACTTTATTAGGTACACCTGTCCAACTGCTCGTTAACACCTAATTTCTAAGCAGCCAATCACATGGCGGCAACTCAGTGCATTTAGGCATGTAGACATGGTCAAGACAATCTCCTGCAGTTCAAACCGAGCATCAGTATGGGGAAGAAAGGTGATTTGAGTGACTTTGAACGTGGCATGATTGTTGGTGCCAGAAGGGCTGGTCTGAGTATTTCAGAAACTGCTAATCTACTGGGATTTTCACGCACAACCATCTCTAGGGTTTACAGAGAATGGTCCGAAAAAGAAAAAACATCCAGTGAGCGGCAGTTCTGTGGGCGGAAATGCCTTGTTGATGCCAGAGGTCAGAGGAGAATGGCCAGACTGGTTCGAGCTGATAGAAGGGCAACAGTGACTGAAATAACCACTCGTTACAACCGAGGTATGCAGCAAAGCATTTGTGAAGCCACAACACGCACAACCTTGAGGCGGATGGGCTACAACAGCAG